GAGGATTCCTCCCGGCGTTATTTTTTTTTCTCAGCGCTAGACTCCAAACCCCCATGGGGTTTTGGAGTATCGACTCCATAAAAACCCCGGGGGGGTTTGCAAAAAGAAAAATAATAATAATAATTTTCTTAGGGAGTCGACTCCCAAACCAATCAAAGGGTTTGGAGGACCGACTCCCAAAAAACGGGGGGAAAAAAAAATTAGGGGGCTTGACGTCCTGAGGACCGTCCGCAGACAGTCCTCCGGACGTCCCCAAAATTTGGGAGTCGGAACTCCAAATTTTGGGAGTCGTTTAACTAACACCCTATATTTATTCAAGTTATTTTCTTCAGCCGGCGGAAGAGCTCCGGTCAATCTCAACATCCCTCAGTCCAAGCAGAACGAGTAGGAAGTGCAAAGTTGAACTCAGCCCACCGCCGTGCGCCTTTGTGGATCTCACTATGGCGCCTTGTCGCAGGACCTTGTCCAGCCGAGGACGCCGGGCGGCCTCATTCATTCTGCCAAGTGGTCCCCTGAGACCTCCTTTAGCACTTAGCTAGGACCCTCTCCCTAACTTATCACTAGTCCCTCCGAGGAGGTCGGGTCCCTCTCAGGGGGAGACTTTGTATTATCCGTGATGTGATTTCGGCTGGAGATGCACGTTACGCAAACCATCATGATTGCCGCAAATGTTGTCCTATACTTGCCTCGAGTTCAATAAAAATATTTTATAAATCTGCAGAGGGGTTTTGGACTAATATGTGGCAGCTCTTCAATAAATGAGCCTCCCGCTGAGACTGCAAGGGATTAATGGGGGAAGACCCACCCATGGCGGGAACTGCCTTAAGCCCTAGTACCGAGACCATCTGACACCCTTATCGACCTTATACAAACCCTCTGGAAGAAATTTTTCCATATTTTATAATGATTGCCTGGGCGTTGATCCTTATAGTTAAGCAGTCTTCAAATAAACCTGCAGCCTTGATGTAATCATCAAAGCTTACAACTTGCGATTTGATCTTTAGCTGGCCGGAAACATCCTAGGAGGGGAATCTTCAATAGAACTCAGCCAAATCCGAGACATAACACATGCTCCAGAGGCCGTTGATCAACCGAGCATATCTCAACACCACTCCAATCAAGTCGGGTCGACAAGTCTACCTGATTTAACACCTTCCAATGTGTGTGCATCTTTTCTAAAATATTCAATTCATTCGATTCCTAGGGAGCTGGAACCTTGACTCTTCTTGCCCGGGGGTTTGAGCAGCACGAGGTAAGTATTACTATTGATGATGGAGAGGGTAGCAGAGCAGCCACAGAAACTGCAAGTCACATACCCACCGATCTTGGAAGAACTAGGGATCCCCAATACATAATCATTCCTGTTGGCTTGAAGAAGGAAGATGGATCTCTTGAGGGAAGCAGTCAAGAAATACCGGATTGTCCAATTTGCTTGGACCCGTGCTCAGAGCCATATTGCCAATTAGTGAAGTGCAAACACTATTTCTGCACTTCATGTATTGATCAATGGTTGGAAATAAACCCCCACTGCCCAGTTTGTCGAGAAGGTCCTGAAGAATTACCGAGAAGCAATGAAGCAACTCTTACTCAGTCAGTGACAGTAAGTGCTTCAGCCTGAGGAATACTAAAAGCAAATCAGAACATCCCTCCCTTGGAAATTGAATTCAATATGAAACTGATATCATCACCTCACAGGTTCAAGCAATAATTCAACACATGCGGCTTCATCCTCGTCTTTATAAATTACTTCTTGGTGTTTGTCTCCTTTATCTTGTGGTGTTGATGGTGCTCACAATGATGCAGTAAGTTTCCTGATCAAAAATCCTACTCCATCTTATTGAACTACACCTTCACTAAATCCAATTGCTTCTTCCTCAACCCAGGGATTTAACTAATGTTAATCTACACATATGAGTGATTATAAATTTTAACCACCTCCTTGCCAGCTATGAATGTTTGGACATGAAATTTTATGAAACAGATCTGTAAAAATAAGCACAAAATCTGATCAGTCATCAAGCTTATGAGTAGGGTTCAGGAAGCAAATGCTCATTTTGAATCCTAATCTTAGGTGCCAGTGCGGTCCTCATTGTGATCAACAGTAATACCCTCCTAGTACTTATGAGGATTGGAAAGTTGATTTCTGATAGCATTTCTGGAATTTAAAATTAATGTAAGGTCTTCAGAACCACATTGTGCAATGAAAAATGAGTCCCAATCTGAACTACAGTTTTTGCAGCCATCTGTCAGTTCTGACCTGCAGGAAAAAAGTTGAATTTTGGGTGCAGGCCAGATGTATGGATGTCACTCAGGTCAGAACCCCAAGGTGACCACATGTTTGGCATCTTTGGAGGTTGCACATTCTCAACTGAAGTTGGCTTGGTGACAGCTCCAGCCAAAAAGATTTTTCACATTTCTCACCCTGAACCCATATTAATCTTGTAATAAACTAATATCCATGCATTTTAACTCAACTATGTAGAGGGGAAACCTTCCCAGGGGAGAAAATCAGCCCACATCCACATCCTGAAACTCCTGGTAAAATTCAGATGTTTTTGAAATAATTGGGGTCTGCAACTGGGACCACCCCAATTAATGTTAAGGGATGGTCCTGGGGTTTGGGACGGGGATAGAGGGTCATCCCGAGGAACAAACCCTGGGAATTCCAGGGGATTGCTGCAATTTTTTTTCCTTAATCAATGATGGCACTATGGCCCAGCACTACCTACCTATCTCAACCACAAGTGCTGTGTTGGGATTGGTTTTTGTTTTTTGGCCTTTGATGGCCCATTGCAACCTTTTTTTTTCTTTTTCAATGAATCCCACATGTGAAAATGAAACAAAAAAACTGTTATACGTGCCAAAACAAGGAAAAATCAGGGAAAATCCCTGTAAACAATGAACCCCGGGGTTTTGGGGCTTTGTGAGGCCCATCCCAATTCCTGAACCCCGGGGCTCGGGACCGGGGCAGCCCCGGAATCCCGAGGTTTGGGACCATCCCTTAATTAATGTAGGACCTGACAGATCACTACCACAACTGTAGCTTTTTCTTGCACAAGATTGGAGATTTTTCAATCTGTATGGAAAATGAATTCATAAGACAATTGAAGGGGAACATAGATCTCCTGCAAAGAAGGTTCAAATTATGTGATGTATGTATATACAAAGAAGAAGTTGAATTCCATTACTGAGATCATCCCAATAAATGAATAAATTCCAGACAAGTTTTAAATTTGTGACAGCTGCCAAATTTTAACCCTACAAAAAACCTTATAGATATGTGTAATTTAGGAAACCTAATTGTCTCATTTTCTTCACTGAAAATTTCTTCAAACCTTCACTCAGATAATTTTCAACTCTACTTGACCTGATCCTGTTCTCTAGGACAAAAAACAAATTTTCAGCTTATATGATGGTTCACTGGGTATTATTCCTCATAGTTAAGCAATATTTGCTTTATTTTGGTGCTTTAATACAATTACCATTTCATAAGACTGAATATTTGATATCTAGATTTTTGGAAGTAGCTCAGGAAATGAATCTTCAATAGAGCTCAGCCAGCTCCCAGAAGTAACACAAGCTCACATTCAATTGCATGTGGATCAATCCCCTGTATCTCAATACCATTCAAACCAAATTGAGCTCAATCAACCAAACAGGCCTTCAAATGTAGGTGGATTGCCTAATTAGTAATATGAACCCAGTGGAATCTTGATTTTTACTACCTTCATTTTTAGCAGCCCGAGGTATCTATTACAATTTATCATGATAACCAGGGAAGTAGGATAGCCTCTGAAAATACAAGTCACCCTCCCAATGATGAAGAAACTAGTTCTCTCCAATACAAGATTATTTCAGTGGCCAGGAGGGACAAAGATGGATCCCATGGAGAAAGCAGTCAAGAAATACCAGAATGTCCAATTTGCTTGGATCAGTGCTCAGAACCATATTGTCAATTAATAAAATGCAACCACTATTTTTGCACTTCATGCATTGATCAATGGTTTACAAAACAATCTACCTGCCCTGTGTGTAGAGCAAGCAATGGAGCAATAATGGCCCCAAGTGATTCAGAATCACAATTACCACAAGGAAACCATGGTGTAAGGACCTGGAGAGATCACAATCAAAATGGAAGAAGCATCTCAAATATTCAAAGGCAAATGGAAATCAAAATTCTTTGTCTCAAGTTAGCCATGGCTGGCTGCATTGTATCATTCATTGCATTTTTGGTGATACTGTTGCTAGAGTAAGACTCAGAGTTCTAGTGGTATTTATATGTTCAATCTCAGTGGGAAACCGTTTTTACTAATTCAGTGTCTTTTTTGAATCACCTCCATGAATAGAAAGTATTGGCCTCAACATTTCAGTCCTTGGGGTAATATCTTCTATCCTCCTCAGAGACACACATGAGTTTTTCAAATGGAAAAAAGGTTTACACTTGTAATTTTACCAGTTCCTTTTTACTAGAATGGTACCAAAATCCCTTCCTTTGAGTTTCATGGTTATTTCCACCAATTTTTGATTCATTCTCATTTCCTAGAGGAAAATTAAAACCTCATTTCATTTGCCAACCACTTCTTGAATATCAAAAATTACTCATTATTCTTCTTCTTGATTTGTTTCTGCTTCAAAATCTATCTAAAAAATTGTTAAAACTCTCACACAAGTTAGTTTTATTCAAATTCTTGACTGAATTTTCAGTTGAATATTTCAAGCTCTTCATAGATCCTTATCATTCAAATTCAGTTGAAGTAGATATTTTCTCACATAAATTTAATTTAATCTAAAAATAATGAATGATTCTCATTCTACAGACCAAAATAACAATTTGAATTTATTTGGAGTAGCACATCTATGTGATTCAAGGTCAGGTTTATTTTTTAATTTAATTAATATAATTGCTACTGAAATATCAACAACTGGCTGATTACTGGGAGGAATGAATGATCACTATGTGTCAGTCTCCAGCAGCCTGAAATTTCAACCCATCATCTACCCCATTTTTCAACTCTAGATTCTAAATCCCCCTGTGGGGGACAAAGAGGTCATTGTATTACATTAATAACACAACAGGATAGGGAAAAAAAGCTGCAAACTTTGTTGCTAAGTGTCACTTGTAGTAAATGACTGTATTATTTTGATTCCATGTATTGAATATCAGAGTTAGAATCAAAATTTCAACAAACCAAACCATTTCAAAAGATTCAAATTACAAACTAACATTTATTGTTTTATCCATTTTGCTCAATTTGAAAGTTTATACTGGGATTGGATGTTTGTTTGACAATAGATATCATTGTTTCATAAAATACTAGAAATTATTAAATATTATGGAGTTTTCTCAAGGGTATTTTTTCACTTTCCATCTTTGATAGTAGTCTTAATTTATGGAATGACTTTTGAGCATAATCCATAAAGTGTTTTATTTAGGTTCTCTGGTGTTTCAGCTTTGGATGTGAATTGTATAGCAAGTAATTTATTTCACCTGTTTCTCTTAGACCATATTGAAAATTTAAAAGCTGTAAGTCAATCAATGTAAAACAAAGATATTGAATGGTGAACTTGAATATTTTGAAATGATAGGGTTTCAAAGATCACTTGAAATAAGGTTTGGATTTTGTGATACATGTGGATTTTTTGGTCTATGAATGCAATTTCAGATACCACTACTGAATCTAAGACAAGTTTTAAATTTCTAAAAAATTCCCAATTCTATCCTGAAAAAAACTTTGTGCAGAGGGATCTTGAAAACCAAATTGTATCATTGAATTTCACTGAAAATTTCTTCCAACCTTCACAGTGGGTATCTTTAGTTCTACTTGATGACCTCATTATGTTATCTGGAAAAACCCCTTTCATTCTCAATGAGGATTTTCTGGGTATTATTCCTTATAGTTAAGCACTCTTTGTCTCAATTTTTAAACTGATACAATAAAAATAGCATAAAATGATAAACTGAATATTGGATATTTAGCTTTTTGGGAATAGCTTGGGAGCTGAGTCTTCAATAGAGCTCATCCACCCTCAAGAAATTGTATGTGAACTTTCTTAGGAAAATGATCTGAGTAGTATCTTGATTTTTTCTTTCCTTTCTTTATGAGCAGAATGAGGTATCTATCACAATTGATAATTATGATGGAGAAAGTAGTATGGCCTTTGAACCCACAAGTCACACACCAAATGATGAAGGAACTGGTTGTTCTGAATACAACATCATTCCAGTGGCCTTGAGGAACTCAGATGGATCCCCTATGGAAAGAAGTCAAGAAATACCAGATTGTCCAATTTGCTTGGATCAGTGCTCAGAACCATACTGTCAATTAAAGAAATGCAACCACTGTTTTTGTGTTTCATGTATTGATGAATGGTTTACAAAAAACAATACCTGTCCTATGTGTAGAGAAGGTAATGGAACACTAATGGCTCCAAGTGTACCAGAATCACAATTACCACAAGAAAATCATGACGTAAGGACCTGGGGGATTCACACTCAGAATGAACAAAACATCTCTCATTCTCAAAGGGAAATAGAAATCAAGATTCTTTCTCTCAAAATTGCTCTTGCTAGCTGTCTCTCAGCCCTTGTTGTTTGTGTTGTGATACTTATGATAGAGTAAGCTTTCTATTCAGTTTTCTTTGTGTTATCTCAGTCTCAATATTCTTTTACTAACTCAATCCAACCCTTCATAATCTCCATCATTAGGAAGTATTGGAATAACCCACCCAACCCATATGGAAATATGTTTTATCCTCCTCAAGGACAATCATAAATGTTGAAATATAACACATCTATTGGAATTTAAATCCAGTCCAAGCATAGCTATAAATTTATCTTCCAGCACTGTGTTGATTGAAGTGGTACTGAAAAGATTTCCTTTTATTGGATACTTCTTCTCTATGATATTTCATGCTTCCTCATTTCTTGGGAACAAAAACTGATTTCAGTTCCAATCCTTCCATCATGAATCAGAATTTTTTCAAACATTCTTCTCCATTTGTATCCTTCTTTCCAATCTAAGATGCTTGTCAAATATTATCAAAACTCCTAGTTATGAAGTAGTAGTAATAATTGTAGGGGCATGCAGGACTTATTTCATTTCTCATAGAAGAGTAAATCCATAAAAAAAAGTTTCTTTGAGTTCATTCCAAAGTAATCTCCCACAGGATCACATGATTGTCAATTCTTTTTGTTTGAGATTCCAGGTCAGATATTAATGATCTTGAATGAAATAAGTGCTAATGGAGGACTTCCTGTTGTGATTTAGAGTGTTTTTTATACCTCTCTCAGTTCTAAATTAACACTCTAATCACAACCACAACTAGCTCACATGAGGGCCTTCACTACAAGGCTTCTGAATAAAGATTTTTTTCTGCCAAAAATTAAGACCTTCGTGGTGTAAATCAAATTCTGTGAGGGTCGTAAATGCTGACGGGAAGTCATCCAATGTCTTGGATCAAACATACTCAGACACTGTGCTTATAGATAAGATAACTTGCTATGTGGAGCCCAAGTAATTTATGAGCTTAGACACCCTCATATCTACATGTTGAAATTCTTGTGATCCAAGGAGACAGTGGGGATTGTCATAAGGGGACTTCAAGTTCCAAATCCAACATTCAAAATTGGAAATATAGAGGCCTACAATTCATTCAAAGAAGGTCAACACTACCTTGATCTTTTATTTCAATTTCTCATTTCTGTAGTATGGATTATCTAGCTCAACAGCTGTGGCAAGGTTTCGGCTGGAGATCATTTTTGCGCAGTTAAAATTCTCGTTTCTGCACCAGTGTTTTTTCTACAGTTGCCTCCCTTCAAAAAAAACGTCAATCTGTAGATCAGGAGCTTTGAATTATTTCTGTGTATGTTTTGAATATTGAGTCAATTGTGGCAGAGGAGCTGTGATTTTGCGGCAACTCCCAAAGGTTAATTCTTTGGGCCTTTTAAATAGAGCGCCAGATAGGGAGGGCCGCAACGCGTCCAAGTTGATTTCTCTCAAAGCTTCGCCGATGGCTTCACGTTGAAATTGCTGCCAGGTTGTACCCTGAACATCTGACAAACCTCGACAAGGTGCTCCATCATCTAGAAAAATATCTCATGTTTTTCGTGATGGTCGCTTGGGTACTATCCCTTGTAGTTAAGCACTCTTTACTTCATCATGATATCCCTATGCGATCGCCGAAGCTAATTATAAACAACAAATCAATCCGGTCAGCTCCTTGGAAACAGTTTAGGAACTCAATCATTGATTGAACCCAGTCGGATCCGAGATGTAGAACAAGCCTTAGTAGAGCCGGCTGATCAAATCAACTTATTCCAACACCCCTCAAATGAAGTGCGGGTGAATTTTCTTGATGAACCATCTGCCAATGTGTGTATTTTTTGCTTTCAGGTATTAGGCTTGTAAAACTTTTGAGATATCGGGAGGATTTTTCATTCTTACTATTCTCGGGCTCTGAGTAGCCCGATGTGATTATCGAAATTGATAATGGTAAAGAAGGAAATAGGATGAAGAATACTTCAGGCATGAGCAGTAGTCTTGTGGACCCGAAAAACGCAGATGAATCTCTTGACGGAGGAAGCTGTTTCAAAGCAGAAGACTGTGCAATCTGTTCGCAAAGATGCACAGGATATCGCGATTTACCTTGCGGTCACTCCATCCACAGGTCTTGTGCTAAAAAATGGCTAAGCATCAATCCTACCTGTCCATTCTGTCGACAACCAGTTCCTGATGAAGGAGTGGAAAAATGTGCACAAGTTACAAGAGTACCACGAGCAGAACGTAGCCCAATTACCATAGATGCTCAACAGAGCATGTGGAGCATCTCACATTCTGCACAGAGAGATCATGAAATCGTGATTCGTCGCCGCGGCCGTGTTTGCTTGATCATGTTTTTCTTCTTGTCATGGATTATTCTCGAATCATTGATGAGTGCGTTGAGGTAAGTTTTCTAGTTGAAGCTATGGTATCCGACTTCAAATCAAATCTCATTAACATGCGACGTTAAACCCCTGATCTGAAGAGAGGATCTTAAGGTAGCTCATCATAAAAACCCCACTTAACCTGCTCTTCATCATCCATGAATGGTTATAAATTGCTTTCTAAGTAACTGATAAGAATCTTGAGTACATTTTTATTGATAAGTTTCAAGTGGTCTATGGCGCATAAATCATTGCATCAATTTTCAACAACCATTATTTTTCAAATATTTTCCCCTGTATTGATAACACTTCAGATCAAATCTCATGGAATCGAGTATTTTGACCCTCAGCTCGAGAGAGGACCTTAAGGCAGATCTTCAAAGTAAAACTACTCGAATGTGCCTTGTCATCCATGAATGAGTATAAATGAGCTTGCAAATAACTCTTCAAAAACTTGTGTCCAATTTTGTATGAAAGTTAGGTGATTTGTAGATGAGTTGTCACCAAAATTTACCTGCCATTTCTCACATAACTTTTTTGCAACTGTAAAATGTTATTATTCCTGTTTTTTCCCAAACCTGTTTCCTCAAGAGTAACATAGCAGATTGAGTTTCTACTACTTATTAAGCAACTCAAATCTAGCCTAGCTTGTTTTTCCTGTTGAGCTCTGTGAACAAGCTCAGTTAATGAATGCAATTTTTCTCTGCTGTAAACTCTTCTGAGTTGATTATTTCCTAAAAAAATCCCTCAAAGCCTTCTGGTTGCATAGTTATTATTTCTTTTTTTTATCTCAGTCAAACATGACAGGAAGTTTTGAAAGTATTTTTTTTAATCCATGAACTATGGTTGGGGATGCTTCACGACTCCAGATTACCCGACCATCTGGAAGAAATGTACGAACTTGATAAGGGTCGAATGTGGAGAAATCTGGATGAAGTATTACAAGTTGCTCGAGCTTGAAGAGGAAACAACGAGGTTGAGTATAAGCATCGGTGGTTGAGGCGGGTATGCTAATAGCGAGTATCCGGCTGCGCCCAACCCGATGTCGACCGATCGATTACCGGATCCGTTGCTCCACTGGCTGACTCCGCCGCCCCAGCAGGCAGACCACACCAAAGGAACACCAACCAACCGAAACTCAGCCATCGCTCTCCATCAAATCGACACTCAAATCGACACTCAACCATGATTCCTTCAAACGTACACCATTCAGGAATGCCAACAGGTCTGCCTTCACTTCCAAACTATCGTCAGTTCCGCACTCAAGACAATCGAAACTGACCGTTTTACGAAACACTTGACCATTCGATTGTTAATGACACACTCTCTAGGCAAGAAATACGTACGTTTCCCACATGTCTTGCAAGATTTATCTTCTTTTTTCTTAGCTTCAATAGGATTCGTTAGGAAGGATGAATGAGTAAACTAACTGCTGTGTTCGAACAAACCGACTCCGATGAACTGACGACATAAAACAAAACAGATGGGATGGTGGGGAAACATGGGTGGACCGAAGCAGAAAGGGATTGTAGAATACTGTGTGTCTGCCGATCTTATGCAATCCGTCAGCTTCCAGCGCTGATAGGAGGGAGAAGAGGCTGACTGACTTATTTTTTGTCTCCTGAACGCGAACCAGCCCTATCACCTTACCGTCAAAGCCCAATGAAGAACGCATTCCGGGGGTACTTGTTCCAAGGGTACCGGAGATTGGCGGCCCAAGTGCCCTACTGGATCGTCCCTTTCGGCGTCGGTAAGCTTCACTCTCCCCCATTCCCCACTTCTTTATATCCCTACCCCGCCTGCCCTGGTCTCTCCTTTCGAAGTTGTTTTACTCACTATGAACTTGTCTGCGGTCCTTGATCTCGGTCTATGATCACCAGCTTACGGGGTCATCAAATGGGCCGACGCCGACAACCATTACAGGAACACTAAGGCCGGTCATCGAGATGGAAAATTCCCATAGACCGAACTCCAGCCTGATCATCAATCCAACCGTTTCACCCACTATTTCCTCATCCCTCCTAGATTTACAAGCGCCTTTTTTTACATTACCATAGCTTTTATTTCTCCTTTTTTAGGTTGATGTATACAACACTTGAACCACGCTTTTTTTTTTCTCTTTACAACGGAGATCCTTGCGCCATGTCGATGAGATTAAAGACCGTGTTTGAAAAAATCTTTCCGGTTCTCTGTTCGATTATACGCATATTGCCAACGCAACAGTTCTAGGATCTTGGGTGTGAACGGGCACCAAGCATCGAAAGTGAAGAACTCTGACCATTTCGGAAGACAGATCCCTTCACAGGAGAGACATACTTGATGGATAAGGTGGATTGGTGGTGTAGACACCGGGTACCCTGAACATTTCGGTGAGCTGAGCCTTGATCGAAGGGATGGGGGCAGCAGGAGTCATGGATGCATCATCGTGACTGCTGGTCGGACGATCACATGGAAGCTTTCAATTGCGAGCAGATGGGTTTCCGACATCAAAAGTGCCAGCGAGATTATCCTTTGCACTTGTAACCCCTTCAAGTCAGTAGTATACAAGCTTAAGTATTATCGGGAGGGTTTTAGCTCACAGTCACAATTCTAATCCTTCATGGGGCCTGAAAACTACAAATCATCCATGGGCAACTCGGCCGCGAAGAGACAATTGATCTCGCTGCTATGGCCGAGATGGGTGGACTGACAGGGGCTGATCAGACACAACCCCCGCGTCCCGTCGGCGGCTGGGGACGGCCCGACCTAAAATCCAGAGGCTTTTGATTTGGCCCAGTCGCTATGGCCGAGTAGGAAGGGGACGTGAACGATTCCGAGCTAAACTGCTGGGACGGTCCGAACACGAATACCGGTGTGATGTCGCTCAACCGCTGACCGAGCGCATGGACACTTACTCGTCTCGTCCGCGGTTCGGGACGGCCTAAGTCACAACACGGAGGCTTGAAGTGGCCCAGCGGCTATGACCGAGCTGGGCGAGAATGCGTGCTAATCCGAATGAGACTGGCATGCGCTCGGACACTGCCCCATCCCGCCAGCGGCTCCGGGTGTCGGCCGGCCCGAATCAGAATACCGAGCATGGAATGGCCTAGCCGAGCTGGTCAGGAATGGGTGCTATTGCGAATCAGACTGACCGGCGCTCACACTCAACCCCGCCTCACCAGCGCTCAGGCCGGCCCGAAACGAAATAGAGAGGCTGATGGGCCTTATGGCCGACCGGATCCTCCACAGCCACGCCTATAAAACTAGACCTTCCCGGCAAACTTTTTGCGGATTCATCCCCCTCAGCAGTCATCCAAGTTTCTTCCAAAACCTAAACCAATCCACCCCCCAGACCAACCAAACCCCACAAAACCACCCCGCTTACTGACCTTCTTCCGATTCAAGTCATCCCCCAAGCTTGTATCATCATCCCTCACCGCTTTCTTCTCCATTTACCTTTGTCTTGATTTTAGCAATATGTCTTCAGCCAATGTTTACTCAATCGATGACTTCTCGCTTTACCTGATGCCCAAGAGCGTAGCCCCCGCGTGCCCACCTTGCCAATCCGGCACTCTCCCATCTGTCTTCGAAGACGATGAGGATGATGAGATTGTGCAGGCCATGAGTGTCCTCTCGAAAGCGAACAAGCTGATCAAAAAGATCCTCATCCGGACCAAACTTCCTCCTTCTAACTTTTTCTCTCCCAGTCGTCTCCGCTCTCTTACCTTATCTTCTCAAGGCTCTCGCATCCCTACTAACAGCCTTCACTCTAGCAACTCAGACTGATCTCTTTCTTCATCATTCTTATATCTAAAAAAAACAAAAGTCTATAGGTCTGTTTTGTCTTCTTATCTTGGGAAATCTGTTTTGGCTTTTCTTCCTCTCGTATCTCTAGTATCTCCATCTCAGTTTAGTCTGTTCCTGTATCAGTTCTTCCCTTTTCTGTTTTTTTGTCCTCTTTTACAATCTTGAGGGCCGGGAGGAATCCCTCCTGGCTGCTGAGACTGTGTATTAGTCTCGGAGGCCGAGAGAAATTCTTCTCGGCCATCAAGACCGTTCATCTTGATTCAGTCTGTTCCATTATCAGTTGCTTTTCCTTTTCTTTTTTTTTTGTCCTTTTTTACATTCTGGACGGCCAGGAGGTACCTCCCTGGCCACCAAGACTGTGTAGTCTTGGAGGCCGAGAGGAATTCCTTTCGGCCATCAAGACTGGACAGGCTCAAAGGCCAGGAGAGATTCCCCCAGCCGTCGAGACTGTATAACCTCAACAGCGGGGGCGGCTGACAAGACAGTATATTTTTGATGACCGAGAGGAAACCCTCAGACATCAAGACTTTATAGTCTCGCCGGCCGAACTTAACACTAGTCCCTCCTTGGGCCAAAGGGCCCCCTCCCACAAGGGGACGCTCTCTTTCGGAGAGCGTCCTTTGGCACCCTCCGATCGTGGGGGTTTGTCAAGCTCGTCGCCGGCTGTGAGGAATATTCCCGCCGTTGAGAGTCTAGAGTGCATGCTGGCTCGCAATCTTATGGACAAGTGGCCCTGGGCCCACCTTGCTCGGAGGCGACACGGCAACATGCATTTCCCAGTGGGATGTTGCTTTGTTGCAACCAAGTGGCGGCCCCAGGTAAAATTCATTTGAATAACGAGCAAATGGATCCCGACTACCAGGGTAAGAATGGCACAGAGACCATACTTTGTCGGAGTCGCAAACTCTCTTTGAGTATGGTGCATAATTGGAGTTTGCAAGTCACCTTAAGAGAGTAGAATGACTCGATGAAGCTCAGAGAAAGAACGATCGGCCGCTCCTGAAAGTCTTCTCCGACATGCTGTGCACGTGTTGCGTTTTTATTCCCTGCATCTGAAGTACAAGAGCTTGATCAGATCAAGTGCATTAATTCTACGCCGACCCCGACTCGTTTTTGCCATAACCGTTTTGAAGCGCCTTGAAGGAAGTTCGTGCTTTATTTTTCCTTCAGTATTTTTCTAGCAATTTTGGAACATTCAATCTAAGGATCCATCATATACAAATCTCAAAAAAAAAAAACATTTCCTTCTCCGAGAAAGATGAGGCGAATTTTTTGTCTTCAACAATGATATGGGGCGCTTTGTCATTGGACATGAGTGAAGCCTTCGTGGTAGTACTGACCAGAAGTGAGCACAAGTTATTTCCTCGCAGTGAATCCAGTGTACATATGCTTGACTTCAACACGAACAACAGACAATTGCTCATCTCTCAAACCAGGTAGGGTCAACAGCAATGAAGTGAAACAAACGCACGATTAAAAATGAAGATGAACCACCAAAGCTGAATTATTGCAATTCAAATGGCCTGGATGGATGACAAGAGAACAAAAGTTCTGTTCACAAAGGCAAAGGAGTACACTAATGAAGAACAGCCGGATGACAATGGACAAAACGATGGTCAAGGTCCGCGGATGACAACACAAATAAGAAAGCAAAGGAGCGGAAGAGAGATAAGCAGAGAGCATCCAATGGGATCATCACCACCCCGACAAACTCAAGGGGAAGTACATTTCCGAAACGAAGATGTGAGGACGGGGACGAAAGAGTCGAGCTGATCCCAGACCAAGACGGGCATGGTGGTGTCGCTGCCTAGTACAGGCGGCCGTCGTCGATGCCGGGGATGGAGATGATTTGGGTGTGATCATGGGAGGAGGCGGCAGCGTCATTCTCCCTTTGGCTGCTGAATGTGCCGAAAGGAGTGGATTGGAATTGGTTTGCCGAGTCGTGGTATCTGCTGTCACTCGACCGATCGTTGTCGTAGAAGAAACCACCGCCGGTGTTGCCGCCGTTGATGTAGGATGGGTCACAGCTATATCCACACGGCTTTCGGGCTTGGAGTCTGTTATTGGGAGGATCCCCTGTCAGCGGTGTGCACAGGTCCAATTCTGTTTGAAAGATTTTTCAAAACTTACTCTACTGGGGATGCCATGGCGGCTGCATGGATGAATGAAAAGGGTCGGTCAGACTGTCAGTAAAGAGATTCTCAAATAGGGCTACATTAGGAGGGCCAGAGCATAAAACGCACCGGCAGCCAAGAGGCAGACGGCAACAATTGCGCTTCGCATACTGGTAAACTTGAGGTAGGTGAATGAGAGTTTGGTGAAGAAGGAGTGGTACCGAATGGTTGTGGGATGGAGCAACAATTATGGATGCTTGCCTCTATTTATAGCCCAGAACTACAGCTTGACTGGCCTGCTTGACTTGGTCTGCCTGCTGCTTGACTGGGCAACACAAATCGACAATCATGAGCCCATCCGACTGCGTCAGACGCCGTCCAAAAAAGGTGCTCTCTCACCGCACATTGGAGTACTGGATCATTACGCCGGGGAGTGACGGCAAGAACAACGGTGGCAACCGAGCGCAGATCGGATGGAACCAACGGTGCTCTCTGTCTCAATGCGGTATTTGGATAGGAGGATTTTGTCAGATGGCAGAACCGAGACGGCTTGGTTGGGTTGAAAGAAGCCAGGAAGTCAAGCCATGAAGACGCAATGGGATTGCTAACCTTCATCAACTCCAGAAAGCTAAAAAGATCATGTGTGGGAGTGTAGCCTGCCGGTTCTGGAATTTTTAGCTGTAGTTGTTTTTCTGGTTTGTTCCTTCAACATGCACCTTAGCAGAAAGGGTTTGACGCCCGCAATTGCTTACTGTTTTAGAGCGGAATGCTAGCCAGTGGGGTATGTCGGATGGTTCCGTCCCAGTGGCGAACATGTGAATTTTCAGATACACTCTGGCTCGGCCCATCATTATTCATTACGCATTCGGTGGTCTTGAAAATTGAGTGGCTAGGCCGGTCGTGAGTTGAGCTGCTGCCGAAATGTAATATGTTTCAGGTCAAACCCATGCCGAATGCCGACAGTTGGAAAGCTAACTGATGATGGATTGTAGCTGGTCAGCCCCGGCGAGGCAATTGTACGATCACTTGACCAGTCCACTACAACAACAATCAATTGGAAAATCAGCCGGCCAGGAAGGAGTTCCCGTGCCGCTATGTGGTTAACCTGGCAGACGCTCAGACACAGCGTCGTCCCGTCCGGTCGGCAGTTCGGGAGGGCCCGAGCCAGAATTCGCAGGTCACCGCCATGGCGGAGACTCTGAAACATACTACCAAAAATCACAGGCAGCACTGGCCCGCCAGCGGGTCAGAACATCCACAGCTAAGATACATACGCTGACTCAATATGACCGCGTCAAGCGGGGGTCCATGTCTTTCGGAATCAGACTGCCAGGGACCGCAGCTGCTCGGGATGGCCCCAACTACCTAGAATATACAGCTCTCATTTGGACCCACCGCGGTCCGCTTTGACCAAGCCTCATGAGGAAGATGTGTTCGTCCCGTCCGCGGCTCGGGACGAGCCGAGCTAAAACGTGGAGGCTTGCAATGGCCAATCGGCTATGACCAAGCCGGGCGAGAATACGTGCCATTCCCAATCAGACTAATATGCGCCCGGACAAAGTTCCATCCAGCCGGCGGCTTCGGGAGCTGGACCGCCCGAATCAGAACACCGAGCATGAAATGGCCCAGCCGATGGAGGCTTGAAATGGCCAATCGGCTATGACCGAGCTGGGCGAGAATGCGTGCTATTCCGAATCAGACTGACATGGGCTCGGATACTTTCCCGTCCCGCCAGTCGCTCCGAGAGTCGGCCGGCCCGAATCAAAATACCGAGCATGAGATGGCCCAGCCGAGCTGGCCGAGCTGGTCAGGAATCAGAGCTATTGCGAATCAGACTGACGGGCGCTCAGACTCAACCCCGCCTGACCAGCGCTCAGGACGGCCCGAAACGAAATAGAGAGGCCGATGGGCTTTATGGCCGACCGGATCCTCCACAAGCACGCCTATAAAGGAACACCTTCCCGGCAAATCCAGTCGTTCCATCATCCCCATCTCCACTTGACCACAACCCAAAAGTTATCCAAACCAATCCACCCCCCAGACCAACCAATCCACACAAACCCACCCCGCTTACTGACCTTCTTCCGATTCAAGTTATCCCCCAAGCTTGTATCTCCATCCCCCACCGTTTTCTTCTCCACTTGCCTTTGTCTTGATTCTAGCAATATGTCTTCAGCTAATGTTTACTCAATCGATGACTTCTCGCTTTACCTGATGCCCAAGAGCGAAGCCCCCGTGTGCCCACCTTGCCAATCCGGCACTCTCCCATCTGTCTTCGAAGACGATGAGGATGATGAGATTGTGCAAGCCATAAGTGTCCTCTCGAAAGCAAACAAGCTGATCAAAAAGATCCTCATCCGGACCAAACTTCCTCCTCGCGTCAAATCTTCTTCTTCTAGCTTTTTCTCTCCCAGTCGTCTCCGCTCTCTTACCTTATCTTCCCAAAGCTCTTGCTCAAATTAGTCTCTTTCTTCGTTATTCTGTATACCTCAAAAAAGTCAATAGGTCTGTTTCGTATTCTGGTTTTGGGCAATCTGTTTCGTTTTTCTTCCTCTAGTGTCTTTGTCTCAGTTGTTCCTGTTGTTTTGTCTGTGCTCTGCTGTTATCCTTTCTTTCTTCTTATTCTCTCTGTTTCATTCTTCTTATCTGCTTCTTCTTCTTGTGTTTCCTGAGTGAGAGGGAGCACATGTGCTAGTCAGTTTTATGCAGTGAGTAGGTAGGTTATGTAGCTTCTTGTTGGGGGAAGTTAATCCAGTGCAGTTGCCTACTCTGTGGGATACTCTTCCCCATTAAGCAGGTTATTCACCTGCTTTTTGAGCAGTGTTATTCCTGGCCATCAAGCAGGTTATTTGCCTGCTTTTTGAGGATTCCTCCTCCTGCTTGTTGAAGAGGTTTCATCTCCATCAAGCAGCTTACTCACTTGCTTTTTGGGGAGGTTTCCTCCCCATCAAGCAGGTTATTCACCTGCTTTTTGGGGAGGATTCCTCCCCATCAAGCAGGTTATTCACCTGCTTTTTGGGGAGGATTCCTCCCCATCAAGCAGGTTATTCACCTGCTTTTTGGGGAGGATTCCTCCCCATCAAGCAGGTTATTCACCTGCTTTTTGGGGAGGTTTACTCCCCATCAAGCAGGTTATTCACCTGCTTTTTGGGGAGGTTTCCTCCCCATCAAGCAGGTTATTCACCTGCTTTTTGGGGAGGTTTACTCCCCATCAAGCAGGTTATTCACCTGCTTTTTGGGGAGGTTTACTCCCCATCAAGCAGGTTATTCACCTGCTTTTTGGGGAGGTTTACTCCCCATCAAGCAGGTTATTCACCTGCTTTTTGGGGAGGTTTACTCCCCATCAAGCAGGTTATTCACCTGCTTTTTGGGGAGGTTTACTCCCCATCAAGCAGGTTATTCACCTGCTTTTTGGGGAGGTTTACTCCCCATCAATCAGGTTCTTTGCCTGCTTTTTGGTGAGGTTTCTTCCCATCAAGCAGGTTATTCACCTGCTTTGTAAATAACTCAAAAACTGATGGTATTAACAAGGTGTACAAAAAACTATTTCATGTTATGTAATCATGCTATGTGGTCCTGAATAAATAACATGACATTCAATCTGCAGGCAGAGGCAAAGTGACCATGGATTGAGTTGTTGTGTAGTCCAAGCCACACAAAGTGATTACATACAATGAATTTGTTTTGCCCCTGGCAAAAATTTCTTATGTATACTAAAGTACATGTCATGATGAAATAATATCTATAAAGTAAAAAATTATGAATGAGGTACTTGAATGCAGACAGGCAGCTAATTGATGATGATGAATTTCAGTTTTGTATTGATTGAGAGTGAAAATGATTGTGTTGTGTTATGTTATGTTATGTTGACTGAGATGTAAGTTGATAATGAATATATTCATAATCCCCAGCCTGGCCGCTCGGTAACCCTCCTCGGGACTAGAGTAGTATCATCGAACCAACCAAAACCCACTGTCCGACTGCTCAGCCCGACTCGATCGACCACCAACGCAACCATATCCTCCAAAACGGCATCCGGGTCATTCCTACGCAGGACGCTGCACTCACCCATCGCAAACAGCTTCCTCAGTAGACGACCAAATAGTACGACAACCAACAAGATGGCCCAATCTACCCCTTCATCGATCCAGGAACTCATGGATAAGAAACAGAAGGAGGCTACCTTGGATATGGGCGGTAACGTCTGTCTCCCAAACCAATACATCTATCCGCAGAAATTAGAATTAATTTATGACTCGTTTGGATCCCTAGTTCACTAAACGTGATGACTTGATTAGATACGAAAAAGAGGCTCAAGAGAAATGGGCAAATTCGAATATCTTTCAGGTTAATTGACACTCACTATACTCATGACCGGACTGGCTGATTCTCATTGATACTTCCCTCTTTCTACAGACCGACTCTCCATACATAGAGAACCCAGAACTAAAAGATTTGAGTGGAGAAGAGCTACGAGAAAAGTAAGGAATTTCCGTTTTTACACTCATCTGCCCCTGGGATACACTAAAAAATTGTTTGTAATAGATACCCGAAATTCTTTGGAACATTTCCTTATCCTTACATGAATGGCTCGCTTCACCTTGGCCACGCATTCACGATCTCCAAGATTGAATTTGCGGTCGGATTCGAAAGGATGCGGGGTAGGAGGGCGCTTTTCCCGGTAGGATGGCATGCCACTGGAATGCCCATTAAAGCAAGTCACTCATATATACATATTCATGACCTCAAAATAAACATCAAAAACTGGAAATTAACTAATTGATACATCTTATTTTGATAGTCAGCTTCGGATAAGATCATTCGAGAACTAGAGCAATTCGGCCAAGACCTATCCAAGTTTGATTCGCAATCTAACCCGATGATCGAGACAAATGAAGACAAGAGTGCCACTGAACCCACCACAGCGTCCGAAAGTCAAGATAAGAGCAAGGCGAAGAAGGGCAAGATCCAAGCCAAGTCGACCGGCTTGCAATACCAGTTTCAGATCATGGAGAGTATCGGGGTCTCCAGAACGGATATCCCAAAATTCGCTGATCCGCAGTATTGGCTTCAATATTTCCCACCAATTGCTAAGGTAAGTCGGTACTTGAGAAAACAAAAGAAAATACCTAAGGTGTTAATGGACATTCAATTTGCTTTTTCATAAATAGAATGATTTGAATGCATTTGGAGCTCGAGTGGATTGGCGGAGATCGTTTATTACGACGGATATCAATCCATACTATGATGCGTTTGTGCGATGGCAAATGAACCGACTGAAGGAGAAGGGATACGTGAAGTTTGGAGAACGATACACGATCTACAGTCCCAAGGATGGCCAACCATGCATGGACCATGATCGGTCGAGTGGCGAACGACTAGGGTCGCAAGAGTACACATGTCTGAAGATGAAGGTGTTAGAGTGGGGCCCCCAGGCGGGCGATCTGGCGGCCAAGCTGGGCGGGAAGGATGTGTTCTTTGTGGCGGCGACTCTTCGGCCGGAGACGATGTATGGCCAGACCAATTGTTTTGTGGGTCCGAACATCGAGTACGGCCTATTCGAGATGAAGGACGGCTCGTTGTACATCTGCACGGCCCGGGCGGCGCGGAACATGGCCTTCCAGAACTTGACCGTCGAGCGTGGGGCGGTCAATCAGGTGGCTAGCGTCCAAGGCAGCGCCCTCTATGGCACCAAGATCCATGCTCCCAACGCCATCCATCAGGCCGTCTACATCCTGCCCATGGAGACCGTCCTGGCCACCAAAGGTACCGGCGTGGTCACCTCGGTGCCCTCGGACTCGCCGGACGACTACATCAATCTGATGCATCTGCGTAAGAAGGCGGCCTACTATGGCCTCGATCCAGCGTGGGTCAGTCTCGACCCGATCCCCGTGCTCTCGACCCCCGAGTTCGGCGAGATGTCGGCGCCCAAATTGGTCTCCACTCTCAAGATCGACTCTCCTAAGGATGCGGCCAAGCTGGCGGAGGCCAAGGAACGAGCATACAAGGCCGGCTTTTACCAGGGTATCATGTCCGTCGGCCCGTTTGCGGGCGAGCCAGTCGAGAAAGCGAAACCGAAGGTGCGGGAAGAGTTGATCAAACAGGGCTGTGCATTTGCCTATGCGGAGCCAGAAGGCCAGATCATCAGCCGAAGCAACGACGAATGTGTGGTAGCACTATGTGACCAATGGTACCTGGACTACGGGGAGCCCACGTGGCAAGCTAAGGCGTTCAAGCTACTCGAACGGATGCAGATCCGGGACGGGGCGACGAAGAAGAAATTCCAGGAGGATCTGGATTGGTTGCACCAATGGGCATGTGCCCGAAGCTATGGCCTCGGCTCCCGGCTGCCCTGGGACCCGCAGTTCCTCGTTGAGTCGCTCTCGGACTCGACGATCTATATGGCCTATTACACCCTCTCCCATCTCTTACATGGTGGAGATATCTTTGGGAAGACGACGGGACCTTTAGGAGTTACTCCAGACCAAATGACCGATCAGATGTGGGACTACATCTTCGGTACCGATCAAATCACTTTCAAAGCCGACCCCATCCAAGACCCCTTGTCAAAGGACAAAGCTGACCTGCTCAGGAGAGAATTCAGATACTTTTATCCAATGGATGTTCGTTCATCCGGCAAAGATCTGATCTCCAATCATCTCTGCTTTTGTATCTACGTTCATACCGCTCTCTTTGATGAACAATTTTGGCCTCGTACTATGAGGGCCAATGGTCATCTTATGTTGAACGGTAAAAAAATGAGTAAAGTTCGTCATCTTCTTTCTCTTCTTTTTCTTATCCATCTGTTTCTTTCTCTCTCTTTTCCTTTTGGAATATGAGTTGATTGATGTTTTTTAAATGATTTCTTTAGTCGACTGGGAATTCCTTGACGCTTTGTGATAGTCTTAAGAAGTTTGGAGCCGATGCAACCAGATTGACCCTAGCCGACTCGGGCGATGGATTTGATGATGCGAACTTCGAAGAGCTTACTGCGAATGCGTCGATCTTGCGATTGCATACTCTTCTGGAATGGTGTAGAGTCAGTTTGTTCTTTCTTGTTATCATTCCACACTCCGGAAAATATCGTTGGATTCAGCTAATTCTATACAATTCTAATCCAAAATATAGGAAGTTATTAGTAATAATTCCGACTTTCGAACAGGGCCTTTTACTCTGTTCGATCAGATCTTCGAAAACGAAACTAAATTGGCTATCAACAAAACTTATAAAGCTTATGATGAGTGAGCACATAGACATTAATCATAATCCTTTTCCGAGAGAATTGATCGATTTGAGTGTTGATTTTTTGATGATGATATTTTTTTATTTTTTTGAAAGATCTTGTTATAAAGAAGCCCAAAAGGTGGGATTTTATGAATTATTAGGGGCCCGAGATTGGTACCGAGATTTTACATCAGAAGAAGGAGGGATGCATGGAGAATTACTGCGGAACTACGTGAGGATACAAGCGTTACTGATAGCCCCCATAGCACCCCACTTTGCGGAATATGTATGGGGGACGATTTTAGGGGAATCCGGCTCGATTCAAAACGCATCGTTTCCGGAAGGAAACCAGAGTGTCGATCAATCGATGATCGATGCGGCTGAGTATGTCAAGGAGACTGTTCGCAGCGTCCGGACGACCGAAATCAACCTCGCTAAACGCAAGGCTAAGGCTAAAGGAGTCCAGCTCTCCTTCGACCCTTCCAAACCTAAACGGCTGCGGATCTTCGTCGCCGATACATTCCCCGCTTGGCAAAGCTCTTGTATCGACGCCCTGCAGAAAAACTTGGACCCTCTCACCACTTCTATCGATGAGAAATCCCTTCGTGCTGATCTGGAAAAAATGGGTCTCTTTAAAGATAAACGTACCAGTAAGTTTACACTTTCAAGGGTTATCGAGAACCAAGACCACTGATTTCTGTCTTTGTTTCTGAAACAAAAAAAAAACAGTGCCATTTATAATGATGATGAAAGGAAAGCTTAAGACACATGGAAAGAGTGCCTTAGAACGAAGCCTGACGTTTGAAGAGAACGAGATCTTGACGAAAGCGATGGGATATTTGAAGCGGACGTTGAACTACGAAGAGGTGGAGATCGAGTCGCTGGGTTCTGGACTGGCCCATCTCGAGAAACTCGAGCATGAACATTCTTCGGCTGGGACTCCTAATGCTGGATTCGATCAGTTCGGCTACAATCGCGCTATCATCGAGGCGTCTCAACCTGGCTCTCCCGCTGTTTGTCCCTCTCTCTTTTTTCTTTTCTTTCAGGACAAAATACGTTTCTTTCTTTTTTTGTTGACCTTTTTCTTTGGTTTTGATCTCTCCTTCTTCTGCAACCGTCGTCTTATAGTTTGTCGTCTATAATTCGCCTGTCTAGCCCCCCCCCCCCCCTCCTTTTCTGCTGTTTTGTTTCATTCATATACAATACCACCCATTTTTCTTGTATTTTCTTCAGGTTTTTTTTTTTTAATTTTTTGAGTCAATTCATTCATTGATTTTCAAGAAAGAAACGTATGTCTTTTTTTCCCTGTGTGTTCAGAGGCTCTTCATACTATATGGAGATCATTCAGTTTTTTTTTTTTTTGCGAACAAACTTCTTTGCGGTCTGAATTCCAAGATAGGATGAGACCGTGTACATGTGTCGACAACCCAAACAAAATCCACAAAGAAATCGGATCTTTTTGTTTGTGGGAAGTCAAGACTCTGTCCCATGTGGCCAGCTTCTGTGATTGCAAATTGAGCTCAACAAAGCTAATATTGCGAATGAATGAAGTTTTGATTGATTGTTGTTGTACTTGAATTATTCTGAGAAACATATAGATGTTGATTGGTCATCTCACATAGGAAACATCTGAATAGATTTGATTGCCATCAAACCAATGAAATGCCAATGAGGATCATGACAATGCAATACTAAAAAGGCTTTTTCAGCAGAGGTCTCAGCCGGTGTATGTATCATTATTATGAGTCGTCACACCGAATCGCTGAATCAATCCCATCATTGTATTGTGGTATGGTCGTCGCCCGTTTCTCTGCTACTCATGTATTGCAAGTTTCACCTCTGGAGGCGACACACTGGCGCCAAATTAGCCCCACAATCTCAAAAAGTGGCCGAAAGTTTATCAAAGGCTCAATAGTATCTTGTTTGGGCCAGCTTTGGCACCCCAAATCATTAATCCACGTAACATGCGCTACTCTTGTCTTCTTCGAGCGACTCTTATAATACACAGCTTACAAATGGGCAGCTTCCAAGCACCTGGGCCTTGTGAAGAAGACCTTGACGATGTAGCGCAAGACTCGGCGCGCTCTGTCCCAGAGAAGATCTCAAATACCGCAATCAGCTCCGGCCAAGGGCTTCCTACTAGTAGCAGCGCAGGGAAAACATCGGATAGCCTCAAACGATCTTCGCAGGACTTGCTCGCAAGTGGATCACATCCATCATCGCTGGAAGGTAAGAGTCAACCTGCAGGGTGTTTTTGCTCAGAAAAAGTGGACTCAACATGGGCCCAGTTGCACCAAATAACTAGATTTGAATAATTTACATTTCTTGTCATTGTTTGTTTATTTGAGAAGGCTTCCAAGCGTCAACAAGAAGCAAGCAACCTAGGATAAAAACCGGTGATTATGTCCCACCTGAATTGAAATCCTTTTAATTTTGGTTTCTGATGAACTTAGTTGATGTTTGTAGACTTGGAAAGACGCACAGAGGATTGTTACAAAAAGACATTAAGAAACTTTGAGATTTGGAGCTCTAGTGTCTCGAGGCTGAACCTGCCTGATGACAAAGAAGCCAGGGTTAAGCTGAAGATGGAAGAGGTCAAAAACGCAATCTCAAACCTTTTCCAAAAAAGAATTTGTGAGCTCAGAGCTCAACCATATCAATTTCAGGCAACGGAATCGGTCTTGTCTGGGGATCTCGCCGCATCAATCACATCGAGATGGGAAGCAATCTGGCTGAAGTCTATTGCAGAAATAGACAAGACATGGGATTTTCCAGAACTCATGAATAACAATCCATCAGAATCGATCCAATTCATCAGAAAAGGGATTGATCTGATGATGGATTTCTTCATTGACTTACAACAGCTTGAAGTGGTCACCAAGACTTGCCTCTCTGATTTCTTGAACAAGGAGGATGGGTCACAAATAGTCTCATCTTATGTTCACAACAGATTTCATAAAAACAGATTGGATGTATGCAAGCTTTACATGAACTTCAATCTGAAACTCAGCCTCCTGGAGGGCCCTGCCACACAAAGGATGGTGCCTCTTTTGAAAAGTAAGTCAAACAAACCAATTGCAAAAATTGATCTGACTTATCTGAACTGATGTGGACAATTCTTTACTTGCTCCCTCATAAACAGCCTTGGAGGAGGATTCATGGAAAAGAATTGAATTTGATTTTCTGAAGGATCAGCTTGAAACATATTTGAATGACCCTGTAAAAAACTCACATACTGATTCCACAGAACCCTCTATGGATATCTTCATTCACTACTTCCTTGCATTAGTATCACCAGAAAACATTAACTTTTCAGCAGAAACAGTGGAAGATTTTATGGAAGATATTCTTTATTATTTGAAAACAGCCATCAACACCGAGATTGCTAAGCTACTACCAATTGAAACCCAATCTTTGATTGAGACCAAGCTTGCACGTGAAATGATTGCTTTCATCATACACCATCACAAAGATCAAATTGCAAATTCAATAATGAAAAATAAACAAGGCACAAGACTTTATCAAGATATGCGCGCAATTGAGGAAGCTGTTGGGTTGCTATCCTCTGTTTATCACTCAATATATGTCAGAGTTAGGTAATATCAAAATCACCTGGATCATGAACCTGCATGGAAGCCTAATTTCTTGATAGATAACAATGAAAACAGAAAAATTTCAATCCTTGGGGTAGAAGATGAAGTATCTGATTGTGAATATTTAGATGACTTCCACCAATCCATTTCATCAAGCTTATCAGACCCTACAGTACAAGATTCAATCCAAAAATCTCTGTTCCAATACGAAAAATATTGGCAAACAGTAAGATTTTATGATCTTGATCCATTGGAAGATCTGGATTCTCAGTTTCTTTGTCTCCTTGAACACTACCAAATCTCTTGTCAAGTTATTGTTGAACGTTATGAGCAGCTATTCCAAAAAGGGCTCACCAGAGAACAGCTCAATGAAAGTTTGGAAACAATCAATTTCCATACTGGGTGTGTCCAATTTGCAAGGTTGCACCTACAGTTAGGATAATTTGATTTGGTTTGAAAATCTGGAGATGAGTAGTTTATCGAGAAAATGAAAAAGCTTAGAAGACAAAATTGTTTCAATTGCGTTCCACCACACGGCGACTGTGGCAGCACCCCTATTTTTGGCAATCGCTGTTTCTGGGTCCCCGGCAGAAAGCTGAGGCCCTGGAGCCATGTTAGACGCACTCAGGTAGACACTAATGTCTCAGACACCCGGTAAAGGGACCTGTTGTCTTCATCAATCAAAACACTTTTGGTACGGTCCACTATGTACTCCCCGTTTTTGTGTCTTCTTTATCAGAGGTAATATAATTCCGCCGCTGGCCTGGTCGCACCTGTGCGCCCCGCACAGCCCAGATCAGAGATACCAAAGCATCAAAAGACGGTACATGAACGCTTTGAGAGAGAATCCTTCCCTAGTGGCAATGTGCTTTTGCTATTATCGAATATGCCTCTAAACGCTTCCAGATACAGGGCCTAACTGCCAGACATCCATTTCCGTTGTGCATCTTTCGGTTATTTACTAAAAATAAGTCGGATCAGGACACTTTTTGTCATTGGGATATCATGTGCAACGGCTCCCAGCTGTCATCTGAATTCCACAGGTAAGATAAATGTCTGAATGACCATTTTAAGCTGATACCCGGCGATGAGGTCCGCGTGTCCGATGCAGACAAGTCCTGACATATCTTGATGCGTCTGCGCCACACTGACTTGTACAAATGAATGTTTATACATTACCACAATGTTGGTCTTGACCGCCCATTGATTGTTCGAAGATATCGTGATATCTGATATCTGAATATATGCAGATGCACGTGCTCAAAATGTTCAAAATCATGAACTGGAGAATATGAGCAGCCACTGCCGGCACCAGTACAGTTCGGCCACTTCTGGCCACAAAGCATTTACGCTATTTTCATCCTAGTGTTAACATATCAGCATATGGCGAGATAGACTCTTGAGCCCTTGGTACGAGCTTTGAAATTATGCAATGATTGTGCGCTTGCTTTTTGGTTTTCTTGGATCACGGGGTCTGACAGTTGTGCTGGGCCATGTCAGATTCTAGCTAGAAGGTTCGGAATCGGCGTCTCCGGTTATGAGTTTTTCTTCCTTAATCTATCTATTTCAACCCAGACCAGCCGAACGAACTGAGCCGAACGGGTCGGGCTGGTCTGACGTGAGCGCTTAGGTACAGCCTGTGACTTGGCAAAGCAACCGAGCGAGCGAAATTCAATGAGCCACATCTCGAAATAATTGTCTCAACAATTATATGCGTTTTTAGTGTGGCTAGCGTGGCGCCAGATGGTTGTCAGCGCCCGGTTGACAGAAGTTCAAAGGGTTATATGGGGGAATATATGATATGATGTCAATTCTATCAAGTAGATATATTGATATTGAGAATGAGCTTAGACCCTCAAGCGTGTTAAGATATTGGTGGGCGTTGGCTAGGAAGCGGATGATAAAGACCGAGCCATTTTGGCTTTTTCCCCGTCGCCATCCCTCCAGTTCATACATTTTCCTACGTCCATTCCCGAAAAAAATAGTAAGGAAAAGTTCTCCCATCATTCGGAACTCGACAACCACAACCATCGCCAAGCTTCCCAGAGTGGAATTACGCGCAAGCAACAACATCCCAATTTACTTCGTTTTTTTTAGTACCCCTTTACAACCAAAGCCTTTGTTTCACACCTCACACCTCACCATCGTTATCTACCGATTTTCTGAGCGCCTCTGATTGTCTAGAATACCTGGTTAATTTACTAGTAGCCCGATGACCTCCCTACCCACCAGCAATCGACCCGATTCATCAGAAATGACTGGTGTAACTCAGACTACCTACCATTTCAACCCAACGATGGAACACAACGCTGATACACGTGTTTCGATCATCACCAACGCCCATCCATCTGATTCTTGGGTATCAGCCAAGAAGGAGAACTACGAGGGTAGACACGATGTCACCCGCAACACCCTGTCTCAGCCATCAACGGAGTCCCCTCGCACCGTCCATGTAATGCGCTTGCTTTCAGACACCGAGAGATCCCTTTCTGGCTTCTGTTACTCTTCGCCTACGCTTCCCCTATGGAGGTTTTGCTCCATGGCCGGGAAAGGCTTGAGCTCGAAGCGTGTCGAAGACGTGAAACTGAACCGCATTGACAAACTCAGGGCGGGTCGCAAACGCAGAGCTAACCGCCGGCCTTTTGTATTCAAGAGTAGTCCACTTGCTGAAGGCCAAGGAGCCGGTCGACTGACTCAATTCCACGCAAACACCTTTGCGCATCCCTCACCTTCATCAAAGTCATCGCCGTTTGTTGATCGTAAGAATACAGAAGGGATGCAGCTCCGTCAAACCACCTTCTACAACGGCTGCAATGCTGTCCGCATCAGTCGCTTCTCCGGCCCGAGTGACCCGACAATCAAGCAGTGGCGTGATCCTTCACAACTCGAAAGGCCCGTCACATTCGCTCCCCGTGACTGCAACTTCAACTCTTTTCCCAGCTGGTCAAAGCAACCTCAAATCTCTAGACTATGTAGCCCCAAATCCACTAAACCTCAATCTTCCCTTGTCCAAACGAAAACCGACTACCAGTCTTGGGAAATCTCTCTGCCGAAGTGTCCTTTTCCCAACATGGGAATGTTTTCAAATTAAATATTTCTTTCAATTCACTGGTTGATAGCGCTTTGTATTCTCTCGGAGCTTCGACTCCCTGCTAGGTGTGTAATCCCAGCTTTCGTTTATTACCAAGCCTGCGGTGTAACTGACAAGATTTTTTCGTGCGCTGCTTTAGTGACTGTACATATCTGAATTTCTTATCGATCAACGATTCGCTTCACCCTTTTTCGCTTTCTCGTATACCATTGATGGACCAGCAGCCTGTTCAAATTTTCATTTCTTCTACATCAAGCTTCAAGATTCCTGCATGCTTCCATAGTAGCCATTATCTTTTTGCTCATTGTCTAAACTCTATTTATAGATCAAGTTATCATAATTCTTTTTTTTCTCTTGCACTTGTTTATTGATTGACAGTGACAATTTTTTTGGATAGATCTTGTGCTTCCATTCTTATCCTTAGTTCTTGAAGACATATATACATACATAATTATTACCTGATTCTTTTGACCCATTTGTGATCTGTTAGTCAATTGATTAATTGTCCATAGATAGATATATTAATTTGATTAATTTTGATAAAATCCTACCTGCAACTGCATTCCTCAATATGATCCCTTCACATTGAACCTAAGTCAAGATCCTCCTGGCAATCTTCTCTCGCATAAAGAGTGCCCATTTTCAGGCCAGTTAGGATCAGATGACACCTAGTTACAGCAAGTTGAAAATTTTTAACAGAGGACAACAGTAGGAAAGTGGAGAGCCAAGGGAACACATCCCCTGCAAGAACATCCATTTCAAGAATAAAAAATTTCTACAGATGGGACTGACTGTCAATAACCAGGTCATGGTGGATTCCAAAAATTTGATAAAAATCCTTCCTCTTTCTGATGTTGACCAGGTGCTGATGGCTTTCAAAAATTTCATAACAATCTCTTTTTCTGTTGAGTGCCATGAGACAAAAAGACCATGAATTTTGTGTGATATTGTCAGCCGCGGTGATGCCAAGACAACAAGTCTTCTAGCTAAACCGGGTGATAACGTGGTAGGGTGTCTAAGATGGATGGGTGATAAAGCAAAGGAACCGAGGGGCCCAGGTTGTGGGGGTTTTTACGGTGCCCTTGGTGGATACAAGCCTAAGTCTGATATTGAGACTTGGTAACGGCTACTACGGGGTCTTGGCAAGGTGCGTGTTGAGTTTTGAGTTTTTCTCCTCTCTGGCTACTCCTCACCAAAATCACTTACACCTTTCCCCATTTTTTTCTTTCTTTATCCTTTCTTGAATCATCTTGAACTGGACTGAATTATAGCATATCATAGCTGGTTTTATGTTGAAACTTATGCATTTGTGTAGTCTAATTAGAACTCCCTATAGCAATTTAATCAACAACTCTTGTCTTCATGATTGACTTCTTTCTTTTTCTATGTTCATTATCTGATTCTTAAAAACTAATTATTTAGAATTAACGCCTCTGAATATTTGTGATAGAATTCTTGTTTTTTCTTGATTAACTCTTCTTGCCTGACTAAAAGAGACTGAGAAGTCCTGCCAAGATTGTTTCTTCCAAGAACTCAATATATTCTTTCTCTTAGTTTTTATTCAATATCCTATTTTTAGTTATTCTCAACCAACCACTTTTTGACCACTTGTACCTAGTCTATTTAATCCTGGCTAGTTGCAAGTGAATGAAAATCATCGGTTCTTTCACTCTTTTTCCGTGAACCTTTCCCAAAAATAAGATCCTCAATTTTTGGCCCTCCACCTCTTACGCGCCTAAGTCATAAAAATTTAACAGTGCAAGGCTATTCTGTCCGTTGAATCTGGGTGGTAGGATGAGGAGTTGGAGAGGCAAAAAGGAACTTACTGGAATTGAAGTTCCTCTGAGCCAAAGACAATAGTGATAGGGGTATTCGATCACGAAGGTGGTCTCCTGACGGTAGCGGTAGGCCGGAGCCAACGGTGGGCCAGCTACGCTAACCATAGCGCTAGCGTAGCGTAGTGTAGCAATTTTTTGCTACAATTTAGCGTAGCGTTAGCACTTTTTTCATTTTTTGCGCTAACGCTACGCGCATGGGGCAAAAACTTGCGCTAACTTTTAGCGTAGCATTAGCGCAATTCCCCCCATCTGCACTAATGCTACACGCACAGGCTGCCAGAAACTGCCCATTATGCTGCGCTACAGCAATTTTTAGCGGTTTTGAGGCGTTTTTTGCCACTAAAAATGCTGTAGCGTAGCGGCGCCAGCGGCGCACTAACACTACACCAAAAAATGGCTAGTGTTAGCGCTGCTACAAAAAATTAGCGTAGTGCAGTGGCCGTAGCAGCGCGCTAACTACACTAACGCTACATGGGCCCGTAGCGTAGCGGCCCACTGCTGCCGGAGCATACAGTCTTGAGAGTTGGGTGTAAGAGGTTTGCCTAGTCACAAGAGTGGGTAAGGAAACAGTGGTAGTTAGTGCTATGAGGTGGGAAAAAGGAATAGTGCTGGGGAAGATTGAAGGATGATAATTCAATGTCTCTTTACCGGTATTCTTTGGCTTCTCCTTTTATATTCCTAGGGCAGGTCTTCCGTGGTGTATGGGAGTCAATTTGTCTTTCTGGCCATCAACAATGGTTTTCCCAGATTATGAAGTCATGACTGACGTGGTCGACATTAGTCTTTTCCTTTTCAAGTGTGACATCTGAGGACCAGCAATGGGGATGATGCAGGGATCCCAATGCTGTATCCTCTTGCTGCGGATTCTCAAGCGCGCGCTTCTGATGTTTATGATTTAACCAAAACAGGTCAGGTTGTCCTTTTTTCAGGGACAAGCTGACAGATATCAGCCAGGGACTCTCCAAAGTTTTTGGAGTGAATAGCTGCAGTGAGCAAGAGAAAAACACTGGGGTGCATACCCATGCAATCCAAGATTTACAGGAGTGCATAGCAGCACACTCTAGATTCTATGGAGTGCCCAACCATATAATTCAAAATCATCAAGTTTTTCTCCTGACCCATAGTACTATTCACAAGATTCTTCATTTGACATGGAAATTCAAAAACAGGAATTAAAAAAAAATACCCACCTCCTACTTTACTTGCTCAGCCAGGGGAATGGCCCTTGCCGCATTGGTAGGCTGGACAAGCATACAAGGGACTAACCCGCCCCCCATGGCTAGAGTATTGTAGGTTTGCCATCAAGTCCCCATGACTTAGTGTGGACAAAACTGACATAGAACCCCATGGTAAACCAATCTCCAACCAACGGGGGCAACTGGACCACCCTAGACTATGTAATGAATAGAATATAGAAAGGAGAAAATAAAGCACAATCAGGTATGAAAAAGACACCAACCTGAATAGAATATAACCTAGAATATAAGCAAGACTTCATGGGAGAAGATATACCCTCCTCAGACAGGGTTAATAGACTACAAGCTGGGGGATAGATTTCATAACAAGGGATAATGGCAGAATGTAAAGGAAAAGACTTCAAGCAATGAGGTTGTAGATATGTAGAGTTCAAGTTAAACCTAATGGTGAAGGATATCAAGAAAGACAAGAAATGAAAGAGTGATGAGTAAGACAATGAAATTCCAACAGATGTCAACTCTGATCAGAAGTTTTTTCTTCTTTTTTTCCCAGTGCATTTGACATAGTCTTCTTTTTTTTTTCTAAACAACCATATCCAAGACATTATAGAGGGCCAGGGGCAGGTGCAAAATAAGGATATTCATTTGGGTGAAGTAAAGCATCAGTTATTGGCAATCTGTAATAAAATTGTCAAGTCAGGAAAATGTTAGTCAGACTGAAGTGAGATGAAATTATAGAAAAAAACAAAGAAAGAAGACACACATGAATATCTTGATTAACAATCCTAAACTAACACAAAAGCCAACAAATAATAAGGCCAGATTAGACATGCGACGACGAAGACGTCTGTTTTGAATCTCCAGTTGATTCTCAAATTCAGCAATTTCCATAGAATGTTGAAGTTGATTGTGAATGTTTAAAGCAGCAGTCACCTCGTTTGGTTGTGGCTGTGTGGAACTTATAACAACAAAACCTTCATTTAACTCTGCTCGACAAACTGGACACCAAGGATTGATTTCCAACCAAGGATTAATACATGGAGTGCAAACAGAGTGAGTACATTTCAAGCCTTGATATGGCTCTGAACATACATCCAAGCAAATTGGACAGTCTTGTAATATTTGGCTGCTTTCATCTACCCTCTTCAAACCAATGTGACCCATCTTTTGGGGGGACTCAGAATCACATGCAAGATCAGTTGGCTTTTGAACTGTATAGGTTCCTGGTATTCTCTGAAAACTTTGTTGATCATCATGATCAATCTTAATATCTATCTGGTGCTGTTCAAATTAGGAGGCCAGAACCAAAAAATCAATATTCTAGCTCCAATGAAATTGTGCAAGCTCAATCATTCAAATAAGAGATTGGACACACACTGGAAGATGGGATTCTAGTAAAATTCACCTCAGCTTGATTGGGCCAATGCTGAGACAGGCAAGATGGACTAGCATTTTCTAGGCCTTTTTCTGTGTGTGGGAGCTGGCTGAGTTCTATTGAAGATTCACTTCCAAAGCAGTGTCTAACAAGCTGAATTTCATATTTCCATCTGTAAGCTTTTGTGATAGTAGCAGAGGGACATCATGAAAAGAATAGTGCTCAAATATAAGGATTAATACCCAGGAAGCTATTACAACAGATTTCAAGATTTATTCACTCAAAACCAGTGAGTGACTATCCAGGGGTCTCAGCAAGAGGCTTTGTATATAGGTCTTTGCCATAAATCTAAAACTTGTCTGAAGATTTGCAGAGTAACTACAGGAAAATTATTTCCATGAATTACTGTGCAACACACAGCTTCAGCTGAAACATCCCCACCACAACAGCTCAAGAGACCCAAGTAATACAGTGATCAAGACTAACAGGCTACCTGTCTCTCTCATGCTCTCTCAGAATCAATGGCATGAGACATAGTTTCATAAACTGACCTCAATGAAAGACAAAGTAAAAAATTATGATCATGATTGTATGACTTGGAGAGGCATTTTAAGAGTGATTGGACAACTGGGGGACTTGAAATTTTCCCCCCGAATACCTGAAATTGAGAGTGCAAACTCTCCAATGAAGGGTATGGTTCAACCCATGATGATGAGATCAACTGGGACCAATAGTGAGATAGTGGAAAGGATATTTCATTGCTTTAGTGATGAAAGATCATAAACAAGAAAGAAAGAAAGAAAGAAAGAAAGAAACAGAAAATAGACAAGAGATGAACAAAATGACTTACCTGGGACCAATAGTGAGATAGTGGAAAGGATGAGGAAAGAGATCCTTCCACAAGCTCGCTGCTGACCCAGGTGTACAACATGAACTGTGACATAAATGTGACAGGTGTGTAGCATACAAAAGAAAAGAGAGTGAAATGGAACATGATAACTCAACACATGAGAGTACACACTCTCTTGGGATGGGTACCTGTGATTAAGGTGTACACTCTCCAATAACTGGTATTTGTGTCTGATTCAGTAAGAGACCAATACTGGTCTTTGAATTGGTGCACATTGTTTCATGACCAGTATTGGTCTTTGAGAGGAGAGTCCAAATATCTTTTATGGTGTTCAGAATTGCATACATCAAGTTTTACTTAATAGTTTAAGCTGTGATTTTGGCTGGCACTGCCAAAGTTGAAAGCAATTGTGTCAGATAGCTGTATCAGTGATTATATCAGATATCTTGATGTGATGTTACATCAGTTGGACTCGGAGTGCCTGATTTGATATACAAACATTGAATCAGACACTCCAAATGATCTAAGATCACACAGAAAAATCTGATATAATCACAGATACAGCTATCTGATGCAATTCTAGTGTACACAAAGCAGAAAAGGTGTGTCAGATGGCTGTACGTGTGATTATATCAAATATTGTGGTGTGATGTTACATCAGTTGAGATGTATGATTTTATAATGCTTTGAAATTACATCAGGCAATTGAACTGCTCTTATATCACATGGAAATCTCTGATACACGCACAGGAAAAAGCTATCTGAATCTGATTCTGATGCAATTGCTTTTGAAGTGTGGGACTGGTCAATTTGAGGGTTCAGTATGCTGACAGCTCTCTGCCAAATCTGGCTTTATACTAAAAAACTCCACATGCAGTTTTGGACACCATCTCTGCCAAATGGCATCCAAAATCCATCATCAAGGATACAATGGATAGCCACAAGGCATGTCCACATCCCTTGATTTTTTATCATGTTTTTATGCAAGGTGCTAGTAGTTCAAGCCGGTGAAAAAGCAAGCCAAATGGTTTGCTTTTTTGCTATTTTCTTTTTTTTCTTTGCTTCCCACAGAGAATATAAATTTATGAACCCAGCCAGCAAAATTCAAAAAAAAAAATCTATGGTGGATGTCTGTTTTGGGAAGACGCAGTGAGATGAGAGGGTCTGCAAACATTTCTGAGGAGAAGGAGGGCAAGGTCTTGAGTAATCCAAAACTCAAGAATCTTTCTTTCACACAAGTCCCCCCCGCCCCCTTTGGGGCAGGATGTTTTGTGCCCAGGAGGTGAGTTGGTCAAGTTCAATACACTCCAGACTGCTACCAGTCAATGAGGGTGACATTCTCCACAGAAGCAGGTTGGTATTCTGTTAGAGCCTTGAGCAACTGCAGTGGCACCAATCAAACCAATCATGTGACAACCCACCTTAGCAGCCCACAATGGAGATGGCCAGAAGCCAAAACAGTCAACTTATTGATTTGTATGTATTGGAATTTTTTTTCAGAATAATATTTGGAGAGAATGTTGATTGTGAGAAAGGGAGACAGAAATAATGAACTGAGTTTGATAGCATTTTTTCTTGTTTATTTAAAGGAACTCATTTCAAAGCTCTTATTTATTCCCTTTGCCTTGCCCTACCCCCTTTAGTGGCTATGGAGTAGAGAGAGAGGATACTTAGAAAAATGGCATAATTGGATATGGATCTCTCTCTAGTTAAGGTCATGTCAACTGTGTGTGTATACATTGTTTACTTTTATTTGTTTTTATTTGGTATTATATGAGTATGTGAGAAACCAGGGGTCTCTAGAGGAGTGATGAAAGCATAAGGTGAGGGGGGGGGGATTGGATTCAGAGCGAGTAAAGATACCAAAAAAAATGTGAAGATAAGATGATGATGAACAGATAGGGCTAAGGAAAGGACATTGATATGGGGTAACAAGAGGAAGAAGAGAAGGTCTCAGTATTGAGGGTTTCCGCCACCTTGGCCGCCTTCACCTTGGGATCCGTAGCCGCCGCCGTATCCGCCCGAGCCTGGGGGACCTGTGGGAGGGGGAGGATAGTACTAAGGGCAGGAGATAGGAAGAGAAGGGGTCAATGAGTGGTAGTGTTTGAAGGAGATGAGGGTGGACGTACGGCATTGCCATATCCTTGGTTCGGGTAACCACCCATCTGGCCGGAGTATCCATCGGCAGGGGCGGCGGGGTAGCCGCCATAGCCAGCGCCAGCGTAGCCAGCACCGTAGCCGGGGCGGCCACGCATGGCGCCAAAGCCGCCACGTCCGGCGCCATTGTCGGAGCCGGGGCCGGAGCGGGATCGGGGCTGCAAGAGGGGCCGGGCCTTGACGAGGGTGATCGGGTGACCGTTGACGAGGATGGGCTGGTCGGCGGCGGTGTCCTGGAGCTTGGCAAGTGCGCTTTCGAGCGTCGCTACATCTTCGAACTCTAGGTGTCCAGTACCCTTCAAGAACCCACCTGGGAACTTGTGCAGACGGATCGCCCGCGGTTGGACTCCTAGACGCTCGTGTAACGCTAATCGCAAGCTCGCCTCATCCGCCTCCCCTTGCGTGGGGAATCCCGACATGAATAGTTGGTTCGACGCATCCGAGATCATCGGCCGGCGTTGCGAGATCGCGGCGACGATCTGTCGGCCTAGGAAGTCCAAGCCGTTGATCGCTGTGACGGCTGCCTCAGCCTCAGCTAAAGTAGCATATTTGGCAAACCCAAACCTATGCAGCATTAAAAAAAAACCCTTCTCATTAGAATCACACAAGCACAAGAGAGAGATGGAGATGGAGATAGACTGACCCTCTGACGGCACCATCACTATTACGAACAACATCGACCTTCTTGACGGGGGTACACTGTTTCAAGAAGTCAGTGAGGGCTTCCTCGGTGACAGCAAAGGAGAGATTGCTGAGATAGACGGCGGGGAGGTCGGCAGTAGCGAGAGCCTGTGCTTGAGGGTTGGTGGACACGGGCTGGTCCTGTTGGGAGTGGCTGGGGTCTTCGTCGGATCGGAGCGGGGTGGATGAGAGGGATCTGAGCGAACTGGTGGGGCCGGCGAGAGATCGGACCGATTGGAAGGATCTGTTCAGGACGCTCACTCGGCTCGATTGGCGGCTCACTGTGGGTGCGCTGCTCTTGATCGCCCTGAGACTGGTGGAGATGAATTGCTTGGCTAACATGGCTGATGGTTCTTGGGTGGTGGTTGGTTGATAGTGTGTTGGGTGGTAGATGGTATTCGGTTGGGAGTGGCTGTGTCGGGGTGAGAGTGAAGGAGGAGCAAAAAACCAAAGGGGGGTGGAAGGGGGCCAGAAGAAAAAAACCCAGCTTGGGTTAGGTTTCACGACTCAATCCCGGCACGACCTGTGGGCCATCAGACTTCACCCCCGGCTCGACCCCGAAACATCCAGCTTGTCTGTCCGAGGCTCATCCAGAACATTCCACTGTTTTCATCGTAAATGACTACAACTTCAGAGTGCTGACGAGGCTTGTTTGGAAGAAAGGGTCAAAGAGATTTTGACCAAATAAATCTTGTTATCAAGATCCTTCAAGAAGAATTCTATAGTCTGTTTATATAAAAATGACTCAACATATGTGTGAATTTATAAGAATGATTCCCAATGGAACAGGACCCAGGAAAGCCCCTATGGAACACAGTAACCAAAGAACTGAGATTTTTGAAAAATTCATACATTTTTTGAGCCCATTCATACACGTTTTGTGCGCAGGTTCAGCACTTTCCAGAAAAATTCATACATTTTTGGGGTGTACCTGCAGCACAGGGGAAGGGGCGTAAAAGAGGCGACAAAAAGGGGGAGAGGTTTATAACCATACACCAGTCCTTACTTCAAGGGGTCTAGTTGCTGGTGCAAACAGCCCCTCTGAACTGCACATCAGCCCTTCAAAGCATCAGGCCTGGGCTTTCAAGTTAGAATGGGGGCCTTGGGGAGCATTGTGGCCAAAAATTGTTCAACTCTCATATAAACTTTGGTTAATACCTCCCCTTCTTCAGGGAAAAATCAACACATTTGAGGTGAGTACCTTCTTGGGCAAAAACATCAATTCATACATTTGGGGCAAGTACCACCTTCTTTGGTTTTTGATCAAAATTTCATACATTTTGATTACTGTGTTCTATAGAGGCTTTCCTGGGTCCTTATGGAACCTAGTTTTTTCCACACGGATTCAAGTACATAGGATTGAAAATTGATGGCTGTATAAAATATGAGAATTGGTCCATTAGAAAATAGCTTACTGAATGAGCCTTGAACTTCTCTCCAATATAGAGTCAGTTGCAAGATTATGTACCAAGCATTATAAGGCTACATACATGTTTGTCAAACCTTGAACCTTGGAAGGTCTGATGAATAATCCAAGACTCAAGTTATTATAACCCAAAACCAGCCAGACTTTTAGACTTTACAGGATGACTGGTGGCCTCTGACATACAGTCACTGAAGTGACAGGCAGCACCCCTTTCCCAAAAAAATTCAAGACCTCAGAAAGATATACTTTCCAGGCTCTAATGATAAATGTGGTGCCCAAAAAACACCACTCATTTATTTGTCTTATAACAAAAGTAGTAGTGATCTTGACTGTTTATTTTTCGTCCTATTGATCTCAAATTAGACAGTGTGGTACTGGTAGTTAGGTCAAACAGTCTCACATGTTCATAGAAAATAGTAATGCAACATTGATAAAACTTCTGTTCTTATTTTTTTCTTTGAGAATTAAAAAGCATACAATCTGATCAACCATGACTTTCTTTCTTCAAACCCATTTTAATCATACAAACAAAACAGCCAAATAATCAAGAATCCTCAATCAACATTGGAAAAAAGGAAATACAGTTCAGGTCTCAAAGAAAGAAAGAAAGAAAGAAATAGATATCAGTTTTTTTTCTTATCAATTTTATGAGTTTTTTTTTGTTGGATTGATTTTTTTTTTGTTAAAATGAATAAATAAATGATATTTGACTATTTCACAATAATTACACCACCACCCTAAAAAGATATGTAGTGACAAAGAAGAAGAAGGAGAAAGTATAGAGGAAGGGAAGAAAGAAAGAGATTGTTGGTTCAAGATATTATTGGCTATCATATAGCCTACTAATACTATATCATCTTCAAATGATGATGATGATGATAAGTAATTGTAGTTGAAGTTGTAGTCCAAAGAAATCAAAAAAAAGGAAACACATTCAGAAACTTAACACAAAAAAAAACTCATTGTCATCATCAACTCCCTTCAACAAAAAAAAGTGAAAGAAAAGGGAACAACCATACTACATTGTAATTTTTTTTTCTGCCTTCCTTTTTTCAATTTTTTATGGTGATGAAGTAATAATAATAATAAGATCAATGAAGAACAGGGCCAAGAGAAGAATCAAGATATATGTTTATAAGAACAGAAAGAGAGAGGGAGGAAGAGAGAGAAGAAGAAGACAGATCGGTGCAGTCATGTGACCTGAAGTTGTCAAAAAGATAGGAGGAGATGATGGTGTTTAAGAGAAAGGCAAGGAGAGCAGACAGAGAGGCATTGTAAGTGTGAAAAAGGAAGCAGATTAAGATAGATAGATAGAGAGAAAGAGTGTGTTTGGATGTTTGTGAGAGGTGGTGCTGGTTTTTTTGTTTTAGAAGTCGAGGACAGAATACGGCTATTGGATGGATATGCGAGGGTCGACCGAGAAGGTCAAAAGAAGTAAGGGACGATCGAGCTAAAAAAAACAAGTAGAGAACGATTTGATGAGATGTGGGTAGAAAAGAGGAGAAACAAAAAGGACAGAGAGAGAAAGCTTACGCTGCGGCACCGGCGATCACAATGCCGGCAATCGCTAGGTTACGTTTGTTAGGATTGTGAGTCGATGAAGAGTCGTCGACTGATGGAGTGGCACTATTTGTCAGCAATGGGACAAACGATTTGCTCGAAGAAGAGGAAGAACCACCGCCGCCGAGCTGGGTCCTCTTGTGTTTCTTCGAGTTCGGATGGGCTTGAGCGGCCGATTTTCTCCACAATAACTTGGGCAAGAAGCTTCGATGAGTGGCAGTTTCGTCAGCAGTTCTCTCTTCGTCTTCGTCTTCTCCTTGTTCTTCTCCCTCAAATGAGACTTCATCCGAGCTGCGTTTTCGGGTCACCTTGTTGCTCTTTGCTGGACTGGTCGTCCTAGTGAGCTCGGTCTCCAAGGTATTCGTAGGACTTTCAAGCGATGATTGGGTGCAGGGTTGGGAGTTTTTGAGCTCAGAGACTAGTTTGAGTGCCTCTTGTTTGGCTCTTTGAGCTAGTTCATCGGTCCCAATCAACTGGTGATCCTCGTGTTCAGTATGCTCATGATTCTCATCGACAGTGGTTGGCTTCTTGCTGGGCGAGTTCCTGGCTCCACGACCAGCGACCCGGTCGGTGGGCGACGCGGGTTTCTCGTCGTTCTCGTCGTTTGTCGATTTGGAGTCATCATGAGTGCCCGACTTGTTAGTCTCAGTCGGAGGTTTGTTGAAACTGTTGAGACTGAAGCTCGAAGGACTGGTGTTTCCAAAGCTCAAGGGGCCGGCCCTGGATCGCTTGGAGGAACGAGTGACTGAGATCTGGCCGGTCAGTTTGCTCTGTTGGCTGGCTTTCGGCGTCTGGGTCGTCGAACTCTCGTCCTCTCCGCCAATCTTCGTCCCTGTTGGTGATCTGGGATTCTCTTTCGGGTTGGGGAAAGCTAGCAGAGGTTCTGCAAATCGTGTCAGACCGTAAACCTCGGCTAGTTCAGCTGCGTTCTCAATTGGTACCCTGCAGTGATTTTGTTGTCAGAATGCCAAGTCGAGATCAAACAAAAAAAAATGGTAATCTATTTTAGGATGTTGGGTAAGACTGACCAGACTCCGGTTAGTTTGCGTGCAGATCCGAATTCGACCGCCCCTGCTGTATGAGTATCATAGATCTGGTGGAGGTATCGCATCTGGATTGCTTCTTCTTCCTCGGTCGAATGAGGGAAGGCAGATCTGAAGAATGAGCTAGCCGAGATGGCATTAGTATCGAATCGTTTGATGAGATGAGATGACAGTTTCTCGGGTGAAGGGATCTTGATTCTGGCTATGGTGATTGTATGGCCATTGATGTTGATATCCTGGATTCGTATTGATCGCAGTTTGCCCTGGTAGTTGACCAGCGTTTGGTTGAATTCATCCTGTGGTAGGTTGGGTGGGTTGTTTGACTTGTATAGGTTAGTTTGAGACATCCTTGAGGCTTTCTTTGTGTATGGGTTTGTTGAGTTGTTGGTTGGTTGTTGCTTGTTCCTGTTGACCGAATCTCGGAGAGGCGGATGTTGAGTGACCATATACGGGGAGAACGAGCACCCGCGCAGAGTCGCGTGCGCACTGCGCATCCCGGCCAATCGGATATCCAACCCCGCACCACCGGCCGAAATTGGGTTTGCGTTTGTGGGGATTGATTGCTTTTGTTCCGGTTCACAACACGAACTGGATTTTGGCATCTTGTCTTGCTACTTACAGCTTTCACTGTGGGCCGAGCTCCTTGTGTCAGAGCAACCCTGCCACAAAATTAACGCGAGCCCGGTGGGAGGCTTGCTGCTGCTGTAACTGGCTGGGCTCGAAGCGACCCCTCCCTCAAGTAGAGACTCGTGGTTTTGGTAAAACTTAGATATGGGTGATTTTTGTTTGGATGTTCACCAAGAGGGTTGTAGTCTTGGTTTTGAACCTGCTATACTCTTTAGGCAATGAGCAGGTTTGGAGGAGTTCTGAAATTGCTTGATCTAGTTCAATGGCTGAAAGTTTGATTGTATCATCAATAGGCATGAGGGAAAACACTAGTCAACATAACAGAAATAAACCTGAATGGGATTACAAACTGTGGCACCCGCAAGAAGATTAAGAAAGGCACTTTCAGCTTTTTTTATTTGGTTGGAGACATGGCATGGAGCAAATTTGATGAAACAAGCCATAGATTGATGAGACCTTTGAAGAACAGAGCCCAGAGGTGTTTCTAAACAGATTGATATTCACAGATATGTTTTTAGCAATGATTTTCAAGAAATACAATTCCTGACTATGTCTATGGTGGACAAATCCCACATGATCTACTTTTGGGGCCTGTCACATCAAAGCAGAGCAAACACTTGATTATCTTTAAGCAACTGGAAGATCAGGCTGTCTTCTGACCAGGTTACAGCAACATAAGTACCCTAATCATGGTTACCAAAAAATTTCCTGGTGCTGCTCTTCTTGGCGACTTTCAAAACCGTGGCTCTATCAGCAATCACCACCAGCTGGATGCTTCAGCCAAGTGACATCAAATTGATCAATGGGGAATTGATAAGGTCTGAAATCCACTTCATTTGCACCACCATAAACTCAACACTCAGCACATGTAATGATATTCTCAGGATCTTTAATGCCCCAAACCCTAGGACACCTGAAATCAAGACTGTTCCAATGATAATCTACCATATTCCAGGTCATGAAGGTGATTATATCAAGGGGGGGGGGGGCTGTTGAAGTGAAAACCCCAAGTGCAGAAGAAATGTGTAAAACCAATGATCAGAGTTTTCTCATCCCCCTCTGCTGCTGCACTTGCACAGTCTGAGAGCATCTCCAACGGACCCGCGATCGGGCCACCGGGGGCGAAATTTGACCGCCCGGGTTCAATTTTCAACATCCAACGGACCCGCAGATCAACCCTGAAAACATCGCGGGGGGCAGTCAAACCCGTGATGACCTGCTGACTTCTGCGGGTCACCTCCCAGCCACAATTCAATCCCTCCTCTCCAATCACACCTCCATCGACCAATCGAACACACCTCCATCACATCATCAATACACCTCCAAAACAACACAAAAAGGCCAAGTTCTCCAAAAAAAAAGAAAAGGAAGAAAGGCTCAAAAAGATACCTCCATGGCTACTCCAAAGCCAGCTAAAACTCCAAAAACTTCGACGGCCAAAACTCCGACTGCTACAAAACCAACCAAATCTTTGACTACTCTGAAACCAGCTGAATCTTCAAACATCCAGACCTGATCGGACACTGCTCTACGCGAATCTTGCAACTGCCTTCAGTCACTAGCAAGAGCTTCCTCATCACAATCAGGGATAAATCTGTTACCAGTTTGGTCACTTGTGATCAAATGGTAGGCCCCTATCAGGTACCAGTCTCGGACGTGGCAGTCACAAGGACTTCCTACGGCTTTGATCTTGTTTTGGGCGAAGCCATAGTGATGGGCAAACGGTCACCATTGAGCTTGATATCAGCGGCTAGCTCGGCCAAGATGGAGGTTGCTGAGGTGCTCACTAATCTGGTCGCCGCCGATCACCAGGGGAGTTTGCTCAGCACTTGCATGCAAGTGCCATCGCGTAGTATTCTTCTGGAACCCTGTCAGATGTCTCCTGGAACCTTACCCTCATTTGATGCTGAATTTATGCTGAATTTATGTTCAATTTATGCTGAATTTATGCTGAACTTATGCTCAACTCATCTGAATTCATGTTGAAAACAGGTTGCATACAACTTGGAACCATCTTCAACTTGACTATATACATAATTGGAACTCTTCTAGAACTACACCTGCAGGGACAAGCATTATGTCAGTTTGTTGGTAGATTTTTCAATGGTTTAATTATAATTTGAAATGCTGTGTACAGACCAGATTATCATTCAATATTTTTATGGACTAAATCAATATTTCAAATACTATGCAGAATACACACCATAAACTAGTTAGGTTAATTTACAATGATTGGCCCCAAGTACGAGGATAATAATTACATACTGTCATAGTCTGCCATATGAGAATGTCACTGGTGAAACTTGAAATATAGTGATTTGTATGTGCATATCTGAAGTGATAATGATGGATTCATATTACAAATGTCAACCCAAGGTAATAATTTGTAAAATTCAACCACCTGAATAACACCAACCAATTTTTCCAATCCAAGTCTGTTGGCTTCGGCCAGTGGAAACTTTTTGTGGTCAGTTGTAAAAGTGTGGATAGTAACCTGAAGAATTAAAAACATAAATATATTAACAGCTTGTTTCAAAAAATCAGCTAAAACATGTTGTGTTTAAGACATATAACCAGACTGTATCAACACTGAAAATTTTCAGATTTTGCTTCTTGGTTTTTCTCCAAAGTGCTTAATATCAGCTGAGGCACTGTGCAGAAACTGAATTCATCATGATTAGTATGGGTCATCTTCCTGGTGGAATAACACATGAAAGCAAACCCTAATTTTTTGTTTTGGAAAATGCAAATAATCTTATTTCCATTGCAGTTGCTTTTGAAATATGCTTTTGTCAGTTCAGTTCGGATGTATACAAGAGGCATAGATTTTTTATGCACTAATAATTCTTCTCATGGCAATTACAAATCAGAATATTTGTATGGATATACATAAATATCACCAAAGGATTGTCCAGAAAACAGAGAGCAGATTTTAAGAATTTTAAAGCCTTTAAACTATTCAAGTGATGGATGGGGCTATGAAAAACCGGAAGTTGAACTGCATCATATTTTTTCAAAACCAGGTTTAAAACAATTTGGAGTGAACCAAGAGTTCTGAAAAAAAAGGAAACAAAAGTAACAGAACTTAGTTGAGGTCAGTGGTTGTAGTATGGAATACGTATCTATCACTGGAGACCTTGAATTGTGAAATCATAGAAAAATCGGAGAAAAAAAAGAGTAACAGTCAAAAAAAGCTGAAATGGGAAGAAAACAAAGAATTTGAGGAAAACAACTGAAGATGATAGCTAGGAATATAAAGGTAGTTCATTCATTTAAGTTTTTTTTTCTCTTTTTCAACATGTTTTTCAGCATCTGCTATTTGTATCTTCTGGTCAGCTATAGTAGTATCAGAGTTAATGTGTTCAACAACAGCATTAGAAATTATTTGAGACATCTGGCAAGAGAAACCAATCCTTGTATACTTATCAGATAGTAAAGCACCATCCAAATTCTGATGTTATTCTTCCTGAGATCTGAAGACACACATGGTGACCACTGCAACCTCATTCAGGTCAATATAAACCTTAAAATCACAAAAGTATACTGACCACCAATCATATCTAAATTCTTTTCAGCTAAAATTGGATCATCTTCTTTTGAAGATTGGAATCCAGCAGACTAGGGTCCAGGTTTTGATGTCAGTGTCTTGGTGAGGTTTGCTGTAGAATTTGTACATAATGAAATTTAAGAAAGAAGCAAAGTCAAACATGGTGTAGGGTGCATGCAAGCCATTGAAGGGAGGTTGCAACCAATGAGAGCTTCACGATATTCTTTAAATGCATGAGGGTCCAGTTGATCAAGGTGGGTAGCAATACATTCATTAGCCTCCTCAAACACAGATTCCTTGTGCTTGAGGTTATATTGAGACCTCCTGATCATACCAGCCATTAATTTTATTGAACAATATCTTTCAGAACCTTTGTTTTTTTGTGCTTTTCCGCCAACCACAGGCCCACATTGTATCACCCATGGAAGGTCTGTTGTTTTTCACTGGCACAACAAGGTTGGTTTGTTGGAGGAAAAAGAAAACCAGTTTTTCCCAACCTTGAAGTTCATTGGACAGCATAAAAAAGACGGGAGTTGTTTTAAATTTTCAGAAGGCCAGCTTGTTTTGTGGGGAAATGACACAGTACAATTGGATAGGCCATGATAGGAGGACAGGAGTGTCTTTTGAGAGGCAAGAATCTCAAAGGAGTATTTATCAAGTTGATGGATTGGGTACAAATTAATAAAAGGTTTTTTTGGAAGGATCAGCAGTGGTGATGTTTTTGTCTAAATCTGACGCTTGAGTTGATACATCTTTGTTGGTGGGAAGAATGAAGGAGGATTTGATGTTTTCACGGCATCTGGCCCATTTCTTGGAGGCCCCACCAGGACGGGTTTGTTTACTGGGGCTAACCAAAAGGTTCAGGGTAAATTTTAAAACACACACACATATGTTTGTGTGACACATGAATGCACATGCTCCAAGTTTAGGAAATCACCCCACTACAACTTCACTCAAAAATTGCCTACATTTTTCTAATTTTAATGGCCATTTTGCTTAAGCTCTATAACTACAAACCCAATAAAAATGCACTTATTCTTTTTGCTCTCTGACTTACTATTAAATTAATCTCATACACTCTTTGTGTACCTCTCACACACTCAAGGTGAATTATTCAGTATGAAATTCTTGTGTAGGATTCTTATTTTTTTGCTCAATTGTAGTGCAGAGGAACAAGATTCTCAGCCTTAGGTGTTTCAAAAAATCTCCACCAATTCAAAATTCTGGTTTTATTTATAAATGCTGATTTGTGTTTTTTTTTTTTTCATTAAAGGAAACACATGAAACAGTCAGAATCTGTGCAATAATTCACATGAAAAAAATTAAACATTTTTACTTGCTTTCAAACAGAGCAACTTGCCTAAATCAATTTGAATCACATTCAAATCAGAGAGAAACACCCATTTTTTAACTCCAATCTCATCCTCA